CTTAAAAAGGAGGGACACTTGGGTGGCTCAGTCATTGGGCATCTACCTTCAGCTCAGGTCATGATCCGGGGTCCTGAGATCAAGCCCACATTGGGCTCCCTGTTTGGGGGGAAGCCTGCTTCCCCCTCTCCCACTCCCCCTGCCCGTGTTCCTGCTCTCGCTGTCTCTCTCTCTGTCAAATAAATAAATAAAATATATATTTTTAAAAATCTTAAAATGGAGAGAGGCCCTCCCAGCCCCTTACCCAATGCTGTACAGTCAGGAGACTGACCCTCGTCCTCCCCAACAGAAGATTTATTCTCTGGAAGGGTTAACTAGAGGGTCCCTGGACAGGGGGACAGTAGGCACTACTGAAGGAAAGGATTTGCTAAATATAGGGGGGGAAAGTTTTAAAAAATCTAGTGATAGGACCACCCTCTTCTTTTTAATTTTTAATATAATTAATTTTTTATTAACATATATTTGTTATATTATTTGTTTCAGGGGTACGGTTCTGTGACTCATCAGTCTTACACAACCCACAGCACTCACCATACATAGCACATATCCTCCCCAATGTCTATCCCCCAGACACCCATCCCTCTCACCCCCCTCCACTCCAGCAACCTTCAGTTTGTTTCCTGAGATTAAGACCACCCCCCTTCTTCCACACATACACAGCAATCTTTCCCCAAGTTGGGTCCCAAAGACTTAACAATATCAATATTCAAGGTTTTCCGAGGAAATGGCTGATCAAATCATTCTGTAGTAAAGATCACACTAGCACAAACAGTTTCCAAAAGCAGGTATAGCTCAGGGGTAGAACATTTGACTTCAGAGTTTCCAAGCAACTTTCTAGTGCTGGGATCTGAAATATGAGCAGACAGAGTTCTCCATACAAAAAAGCTTTGAAAATGAAAGATAGAGACCAAAACAATTGATCAGAGAACAACCTGAGGGAGACAGACTCCTCATAGAAGAAAAACACCCGCTCTCATTTACATTCTCAAAGGGATAAGAGATGGTATTATAGTGAAAACACAACAGGATGCCATATAAAAAAGGAATATTTGGAGACTTTTAAAAAATCTTTGAAAATATTCAAAATAGGGGTCCCTGCTTAATCCTCTGCCTTCTGCTCAGGTCATGATCTCAGGGTCCTGGGATAGAGCCCTGAATCGGGCTCTCTGCTCAGTGGCAATCTGCTCCGCCCCCTTCCCCTGTGACCTCTCACACTTTCGTTCTCTCTTAAATAAATAAAATCTTTAAAAAATAAATAAACAAGAAGGGGAGCCTGGGTGGCTCATTTCTTGGGCATCTGCCTTCAGCGTAGGTCATGATCTCTGTATCCTGGAATAGAGCCCTGCATGGGGCTCCGGGCTCAGAGAGGCGTCTGCTTCTCCCTCTCCAACATCCCCTGTTTGTATTCCATCTCTCGCTGTCTCTCTGTCAAATAAATGGATAAAATCTTAAAAAAAAAGAGATTTTAAAAAATAAGAAAATATTCAAAATGGGGTACTTGGGTGGCTCAGTCAGGCATCCAACTCTTGGTTTCAGCTTGGGTTATAGACTTGGGGTTGTGGGATCCAGCCCTATGTTGGACTCTCTGCTCATCGGGGAGTTTGCTTCTCCCTCTCCCTTTGCCCCTCCCCACTGCTTGTGCTCTAATAAATAAATAAAATCTTTTTTTAAAAAGTAGGAAAGATAAAGAAAATCAGAGTACCAGTCCAGGGGGTGCAACATTGGACTAATAAAATATTTAGAAAAAGAAGAAAGAAAACAGGAAAGGAGACAAAATTATCAGACATGATTGGAGAAAATTGGAGAACACGACACTCAGATTAAAAAGGACTACTGAATGTTCTGTTTCTTTTATGGGTATCACTTACATGGGTATTTCCTTTACAATGGTTAATTAAACTGGGTATTTATGTATTTATGGGATATGTACTTTTTCTGTGTATGAGTTATATTTCACAAAATTTTTTAAATTAAGGGAGGGAAAAAAGGAAAGGTTCACCCTGTGCCCAACACAGTGAGTTAAAATAGATCCATATCAAAAATAAAATAAAAAAGACACACATCATGATGCATCATAAAATTTCAGGATACTAAGGTCAAAAGATCCTATAAGTTTTCAGAGAGAAAAGAAACAGATTTCGAAGGATGAATTCAAAAGTTAGAATGGCACAGTTCCTCTCAACAGCAAATTGTCTATAAGACAATGAAGAAATGCCTTTAAAATTCTGAGTGAAAATCACTTCTAACCTAGAGTTCTATACCTGGCTATGTTCTCAGTAAAATATTATATTAATATAAAAACATTTTCAGACATAGTCTCTTTAAGTTACTTCCTATGCATTCTTTTGTAAGGAAGCTACTGGAGGATATGATCCACCACTATGAAAGAAAAAAATCATGCCAGAGGAAGAGGAATCCAGGAAAAGAGATCCAAGGCAAGGGAGAGAAAGGAATCGCAGGCTAAGAGGGAAGGAAAGTCCCCCAACAGAAAGTGCCTCACAGGCCACTGGTGATTGATTAGAATACAAAAGGTAAGTGAGAATTGAGGATTACTTGCAAGGTTCTGGCTTGAACAACTTGGCAAGGAGCATGTATTTAGGCAGGAAACACCAGCAGAGCAGGTATGACAGCAGGCATGCTACCGGACTAGTCGAGTTTGAAGGGAGATGGTGGCCACAAACTTTCCTGGGTTTCAAGCTGACATCTAGGGTAGAGATACAGAGTTGTGTGCTGTCCATGGAAAGATGGCAGCTGAAGTCCCCGAGGTGGTGAACACCCATGAACGAAGTGCAGGACGGCAAGCAAATAAGGCCTAGGACAGAGCCCTGGAAACTCCCAGAGACAGGATGAGGCAGAAGAGGCGCTGTTGGCAAAGGAGGGGCTGGAGAGACAGGAATAAAATGAGGAGAATGTGAGGTTATCATGAAAGTCAAGAGAAGAGATTGATTCAAGAAGGATGGAATGTTCAACAGCCAAGGAAGAAAAGGATTAAAAAGCATCCAGTGGGGGCACCTGGGGGGCTTGGGGGGCTCTGTCAGTTGAACATCCAAGTCTTGATTTCAGCTCAGGTCATGATCTCAGGATTATGAGATTGAGCCCTGCATCAGGCTCTGCACTCAGCGGGGAGTCTGCTTGGGATTTTTCTCCCTGTCCGTCTGCTCCTTCCCTCACTGGTGTGCACGCGCGCGCACTCTCTCTCTAAAAATAAATAAAATAAAATAAAAGAAGATCTTAAAATAAATAAAAGTATCCAGTGAATTTAGTGGCATGGAGGTCCCTGGTAACAAGGGCAAAAATTCTTACCTATTAGATTATCAAAGGTTAAACAGATTGATCAAGTAATCAAGCTATAGACAAACGGCACACTCACACAGTACTGCTGGGAATGTAAATGGGCACCATGTTTTTGATAAGCAATTCGGGAATACCTATCAAACATAAAATATATATCACCTCTGACCCAGAAATATTCTTCTAAAATATTCTTTTAGATATTCATCCAACAGAAATACTGGTGTAAGTGTGCAAAGTAAGTACAAGAATATTTAGTTACAGGACGCCTGGGTGGCTCAGTTGGGTGAGCATTTGCCTTGGGCTCGGGTTGTGATCCTGGGGTCCTGAGATCAAGTCCTGCATCGGGCTCCCTGCTCACCGGGGAGCCTGCTTCTCCCTCTGCCTGCTCTGCCTGTTGTTCCCCCTGCTTCTGCTTTCAAATAAATAAATAAATAAATAAATAAAATAAATAAAGACAAATAAATAAAATCTTAAAAAAAGAAAAGGGTGGGGGGCACCTGGGTGGCTCAATGGATTAAGCCTCTGCCTTTGGCTCAGATCATGTTCTCAGGGTCCTGGGATTGAGCCCCACATTGGGATCTCTGGGGGGCGCCTGGGTGGCTCAGTGGGTTGAGCCTCTGCCTTCGGCTCGGGTGGTGATCTCGGGATCCTGGGATCAAGTCCCACATCGGGCTCTCTGCTTGGTGGGGAGCCTGCTCCCCCCCCCCCCCCCCCCGCCTGCCTCTCTGCCTACTTGTGATTTCTCTCTGTCAAATAAATAAATAAAATCTTTAAAAAAAAAAAGAATATTTAGTTGGAGCCCATATTCAGAATTTGGGGCACAGGAAAACTACATCGCCATCAAGAAGAAATAAGATCAGGCGCCTGGGTGGCTCAGTTGGTTAAGCAGCTGCCTTTGGCTCCGGTCATGATTGCAGGGTCCTGGGATCGAGTCCCACATCGGGCTCCCTGCTCAGCAGGGAGCCTGCCTCCCCTCCTCTCTCTGCCTGCCTCTCTGCCTACTTGTGATCTCTGTCAAATAAATGAATAAAATCTTTAAAAAAAAAAGAAGAAATAAGATGAATAAATCTAATGAAATAATGTACCCAACAGATAACCTATGCAGTTGCTCATAAATGAAGTAGATATGATTGTACTGACATAGAACAGTGTCTATAACATAGCAAGTGAAAATCAGTATACATAGTCTGCATGTTTCTGAAATGTATATAGATATGCAGACACGTTACAATATCATGACAACATAAATATATGTTTGCAAATGTATAGATTAAAAAGACAAAATATAAAAACCATATGAAATGGTGTTTGGAAAGCCAAGGAGAGCTTTCACTTTTCCACTAGTAGGAATTTTTACAAGAATATATTATTTCGGGGCACCTGGTGGCTCTGTTGGTTAAGCGTCTGCCTTCAGCTCAGTTTATAGTCTCTGGGTCCTGGGATGGAGCCTGTTCCCTGCTCAGTGGGAAGTCTGCTTCCCCCTCTCCCTCTGCCCCTCCCCTCTGCTCGTGCACTCTCTCTCTTCTTTCTCCCTCAAATAAATCAAACCTTTTTAAAAACCCCAAGAATGTATTATTTTTATAAAATTTTAAAGATTACATGAGAGAAAAAAGGAAATAAAGATTACATTAGAGGAAAAAAGAGAACAAAGCACCTGCTACAACAGTGTGGCCGAAATTAGAGTAACCAGCTGTCTGAGGCCTTACCTCCGCTGAGGCAGGTTCTTGCTGTAGACCTGGCTGACAAGATCACGTAACTCGAGTGTGGGGCAAGACGCGCCATCCTTCCCACAGGCTGCCGAGTGCACGGAGAGGAACAGTTGGTTCAGCAGCTGCAGCGCTCGTAGGTGAGGCACGTCCCTGGCGGTGCAGACGTTTAGGACCGTGTACAGCACTCCCTCCAGCCACTTGAAATTGAGGGTTATTCCCCCTGCACGTTCATGGGGAGGGAAATACCAGTTAGCATCACCAAAAGGGCTTGCCTAGAATGTAGGACAAACCCCAAACAGTGAACAGCCGCCTTTTCTCCAAGATAGGTTGGTCATATGAACCTGAAGATAAGCAAACACCCGTCTTTGTAAGCCCAGAGCCCTAACTGTGCCCTTTATAACAAATGGCATGTTAACCCTACCGTAGGAGGACGGGTGTGACTAATGTAGGCATTGCTAATGGCAAAAGCATTCTAGAAATCTCTAGAATGACTCTTCCATCAAGGAGAAGAGACTTAAGGGAAAATACAAGATTAGAGCAGGGAAAAGCCGTTAAGGCCCAACATCACATCCTCCTATTTAAACAGGCTCTTACCTCTGGCTGTTTCTGATTCAGCCTTAACAACTCTCAGACTTCTCTGCTTTCCCTAAAGCAGGCAGGCTTTTCGCCACCGAAACTGTTCCCTTTCAAAACCTAGATAGCTGGGGGCGCCTGGGTGGCTCAACTGGTTGAGTGTCTGCCTTTGGCTCAGGTCATGATCCTGGGGTCCCCAGATGGAGCCCCGTGTTGGGCCCCCTGCTCAGCGGAGAGCCTGCTTCTCCCTCTGCCCCTCCCCCCGCTTATGCCCTCTCTCTTACTCTCTCTCAAATAAATAAAATTTTTAAAAACAAAACAAAAAAACCTAAATAGCTGAGAATGTGTCCAGCCTATAGCCCCCTACACACATACCCAAGACACACACAGGCACACGCTGGGGTTATAAAATAGCACCAGGCCGAGAGGAAAGTAACTTTCAAAAGACTGCCCAAAACACAGCGAGCCATTACCAGCCGAACTGAACGGGCAGGTGGCCTGAAGAATCACAGGATCTTGGAGGGCTGCTGTGATGTCCTTATTGGCCCCCCAGATGTTGACCCATTCTTCAACACACTGATACTGAGGCCGCAAGATATTGGTGTGGTTCAGTAGGAGTTTCAACCTGAAAGGAAAGCCCCCAAGACAGGGAGGGCAGAGACAGGACTCCCATAAACCACCCCACAATCCCCTGCGTTGGATCACATCCAACCCCAATGACTTCCTGCCCTGCACAGCACCCCTCGGAGGCAAACGTGGTGGTGGGGGGGCAGATCGGAGGGCACTGCTTCCTAGTCGGATTGTTCCCCAGCCTACCAGACACTTAGTGCATGCTGTCTCCCACCGGGTGCTAGGCTAGACAGCAGGGGTACAAAAACAATATTTGACACACGCCATCAATCACATTTCATGCTGTTGACTGACGGTTTTCCTTCCCATTGATGCAAGAGGGGAACACTAGTCAGCTTCAAGAGGAGGGAAGCAATGCAAAGCACTTGCACATCAAAGAAAACGTTCCAGCCTCAAGGGTTGGTTATGGAGAAATGGGGAAGACACAATTAGAAAGGCGGGCTGGGTGTTGCAGAGGAAGCTGCTTCCGCCTTACTCTTGTGAATGACCAACTCCAAGTGGGAGGTAGGGGGCTGGGGTGCTGGTGGGGGGAGGAGCCAGATATGAGGGGATGGGGCAGCTCTGCCAGCTCCGTGCAAACAGGGTACCTGGCTATTGGGATGGCAGCTATGAAGCTGTACACGATGCAGTCTTTTTCGAGGCGGGTTTGGATTTCCAGGCAGATATTAGGCAGCTGAGATGGCAGGCAGCAGAGGAATATCACGTTGGCCCAGTCCACCAGATGAGGGTTATGGTAAAAACACTGGATTCCCAGGTTCTGGAACTCACCTGGGAGGGATAAAGGAAGAAAGAAAGATCACAGTACAAAGGAGTTCGACCTAAACATCGGCTGTGGGGAGAGGATGACAACGACTCTTTCTCGAGTCCTGTCTCCACATAAATCAAAGAGACCCCCTCCTCACGTCTTCTAAAGCATTCGGGCCATGCCCTAACGCCATTAGCAAAGCAGCTAGTGTCACTGGAGCCATGCTTGAGGTTGTAATTCATCCTTATCTTGCTTTTAGACCAAATGCTAGAATTTTTCAGGTTTGTTTAGGAAGAAAAATAATCGGGAAGAAGGCTTCTTGCTCTAATTTACTGACGGTGTATCTTGTGCCAGGTGGCGTACAAAGTTCTTTACATACTTATCCAAGGCAATCCTCACAAGGACATTTTGAGACTAGTATTATTCCTATATTACAGATGAGGAAACTGAGATTTTGAGAAATCACGGGGCTTTAGCTGGTGGGAAAAGCGAGGACAGTAGAAGAATACAGGGCAGAGGCTGGGAGGAGTCGGAAAGATACACTGACAGTTTCAGTAAAGTATATGCAACTTACTGTGAACAAGATAGTTTGAAATGTTGAGAGAAATGTGATGCCTCCTGTATTTGTTTTCAGTCACTGGCAGTTAATCACTGTGCTTACCTGATATGGATTTCAAACGTAAAAATGTAAACTCACGTAAGGTAGTGTGTGTGTATGTGTGTGTGTGTGTGTTTAAAGATTTTATTTATTTATTTGACAGACAGAGATCACAAACGGGCAGAGAGGCAGGCAGAGAGAGAGGGGGAAGCAGGCTCCCTGCTGAGCAGAGAGCCTGATGCTCTCTAACCCAGGACGCCTGGGTTAAGTGTCTGCCTTCAGCTCTGGTCATGATCCCCGCACTGGGCTCCCTGCTGAGTGGACAACCTGACTCTCCCTCTCCCGCCCCCACCCCAGCTCGTGCTCTCTTCTCTCTCTCTGTCAAATAAATAAAATCTTTAAAAAAAGAAAAAAAAACTGATGCAAAGCATCTTGAATTCTTCCTTATGCAACATGCAGGGATGTTCTAAAACTGTAATTTTATTATTAATAAATATAATGCTTTCCAAAGAATATATGAACCTTATTGAAACACATATACTAGTCCTTTTGATGAAATTTAAGAAATTTGTCTCACATGGTAAGTTTTTTTTTAAGTTTAATAGAGAAAGAATACTTGCAAATCAATAAGAAAAATTCAGGCACTCCAACAGAAAAACTGGACAAAAAGAACTCAAAAAAAAGAAATAGAAATAGAGCTATAAAACATATCCAGTTCTTCTAGTGATCAATGAAGAATATATTAAAACAAAAAATCTTAAAGGCATATTAAAATGATGATTAAGGGACACCCGGGTGGCTCAGTCGGTTGAGCATCTGACTCTTGACTTTGGCTCAGGTCATGATCTCAGGATTATGAGATCGAGCCCTGCTTCAGGCTCCGTGCTCAGCAGGAAGTCTGCTTGAAATTCTCTCTCTAACTTGCCCTCTGACCCTACCCCCACTGGCATGCACATGATCTCCCTCTCTCTAATATATAAATAAATTAATCTTTAAACATACACACACACAAACATCTTTCTTTTTTCAGGACTAGTGAGCAAAGAACTCAGCATGCTCTGTGCAGGGGTGCCTTTCTCAAGGGACCCTTTCAAAATGGCATCGTCAACACCCGAGCCCCTCTCTGCCACACACTGCTCCTCACCCAGGGCCTCTGGCCTCCGAGTAGAGATCCTCAGGTTCTCAGCAGGGATGGGGACAAGCTGAAGCAGTACACGAGCCAGCTGCTTCCCGAGGTGGCCGCCTCCGATGATGCCTACCTTTAGCTCATCATCATTGGGAACGCCAGCAACCACGCCAGTCGAGAGACGGCTGGAAGTTTGCTCCTCGTGGAACGATTCTCTGGAGAATGAACACACAGACACATAAATAAATACATGTGCGCTCTGTAGCTCTTCACTGTGAACCTCCGATGCTCTCTGCTCCAACATCCTCGTGTGGCAGCCTGGGACACCTTAAGTGCCCCAGAGACAGGGTATTCCAGTTAGGGGCCACTTCTCCAGCATTGCCAGGGAAGGAAATGTGCCCTGAGTGAATTTGCCACAAAGTAAAGCGTACCCCTTCAAGGGATGAAAACTTGCCTAAAACATTTTTTTAAATGAACATACTGTGTTGTGGTTGTTACACGTACCATGCATTTCCCTGCCTGCTTAAATGCAAGGTCTGAATACTTAACCGTTTGACTCAGAACTATCACTGTGAACTGCCGACTGTCTGTGCAGCACCCTGGGACACTGGGGGCCAGCTCTGTCCCCGCTTCCTGTGCGGACAGCGGCCCAGTTTTCACTGCCACCATGATAAGATTTCCCCTGTCCTACCACATACCGACTCTTTCTGGTTTGCTATTTTAGTTTTGCATACATCTGGGTAACCAGGGAACTTAGCTTTTTTCAAACATCTGATTTATCAGAGTAAGTGGTATAAGGGGGAAACAAACCTGAGAAATGGAGGATCAAAGGTTTGAGGTCACTCTTTTCCAGAGGCTCACTTACTGTGGGTTCTGGATCTGCTTCCTTGGCCCAAGGTAAACAAAGTCGGACCTCTGAATCCATAAGGCATTGTTTTCTGTTGTTATATGACAATCTTATACTTGTTCTCTACTTCTATTAGAATTAGTCTTAAGCTCTGGAGTTGCCATATAAACATCACAAGCCACTTTCTATTTAAGGCTTCTCTCTAGGTTGAAAGGAAAGTGTTTTCTCTGTGCCTGATCCTTCCGAATATAAAATGCCTCCCAGAAATGTCACATTCTGGTTTCTCACCACTCATCTGGGATGCAACCAGAAGGTTTATGTCTTCTTATCAACCAATCGGTAGACCATTACGCCCCTTTTTGTCTCTGCTATATCAGTAACATGTTCAATTCAGATCTGGTCCCACCATCCAGGAGTAGATCTAATTTCAGAAAAAAAATAGTTTGGGGGCAGGGGGCGCTGCCAATGTTCTAGGAGTAGCTTACAGAATCCAAGAGTCTGGGCTTGGATACTTGGTTCTCAGACACTTCCTATTTAAATGTTCAAAGCCACATGGTACAGAGATACCAGAGGGCAGGACTAGACCGAGCTTCTTGGCAAATCGGTATCCCTGGGTTTCATGCAAGTCACCTGACCAAAAGGACCCCCAAAGTTTCAGGTGGCTTTCCTGTTAGGGAGAATTCCACCATTAGCTTAGCCCCCGAAAGGAAGAACCACCCTCATTTTCAGCCAACAGCCACAGGATAGCTAGTCATTGGTAGCAGAGGAAGACAAGCTGGTGGTCCCAGGCGGTCCATGAATGGGTGAACGAATGAAATGATCATTTAACCAATCCACCCACCAAAACGAAATCATAAGCTATGCTTCATTATGTAACCACAGCCAAGGGACTCTGGTATTCATTTCCCAGTGCCTTCGGACCAGTAGTGTTTGACTGTGGATTGGAAAAGGTAGGAGGACACACCCCCTGCCCAAGTTATCCTCCAACATAGAAAGTTTAAGTTGTCTGGATACTCCTCAGCGAGGCTCTTCTCCATCTGCCAGACCTTAGAGACCTAGCTTACCTCAAATTACACAGTAGCTTGCAGAAGAAGGTTGCATGGGCACAGGACTTGATCATCAGCCCTCGAGAACGGCCCTGCAAATACAGCCAGCTGCGATCTTCCTTTTGAATCCCATACTCAAACTGCAGGGATTCAAGGTCCTCTAGTATGTCCATTTCTAAGCCACCATCTCCTGCAGTGACAGATAGCAATCAGTTTGGCTCCCTGTCTTGGAAGTCTATGCAGAAGGGCGTGTTCCCAAGTCACAGGCTCTCATGATGGTGGGCTGACAGCACCTCTCTCCTCCCACGCTCTGTACTTGCACTGTGAGTCCTGGAGGATTCCCATGCACTGACCACCCATGGATCTGTTCAGGTTTTTCATGAATACCTGGATTCATGAAAAACCTAAACAAAAATCCGAAGTAATGTTCCTCCACATAGCTACACGCACTTTTCTCAACAGACGCATTTACATTAGCAGTAATGCTCGTGTATTGGTGTGGATGCTCGTGGGCCAGGACCTTCTCCCTTCCATTCCCTCTGAGGCTTTAGAAATAGGATTAGCCATGTACACCATGCTTCAGAGGAATTCTTTTCACTAAACTCTGTGTTCCGCAAAGGATGGGAAAGAGCCCAAATTCACTAACATGGTCCCCTGCCTAGGGCAAGGACATTTGGATTTTAGAAAAGGAAGCCAGAGATATATAAACCCATTTACATTGATCTCTCACCAACCAAAGTGAGGAGAAGGTGGCACTACTCCTCAGTACTTCTGGTCTTGGAAAGTTAGAACTACATTTCCAAGAATTACCAACAAAGTTGTCATTATGACTCCTTAGCTACCAGATTACTTCAGTCCCTGAGACTTAAAGGGGCCAGCCCCACACAGATGCTTTCAGACCTCCCTCATGAGGACAGGAATTCTTTCCACTAGTTTCCCACCCCCCCCCAAGGATTTATCTATTTATTTGAGGTGGGAGGATCAGAGGGAGAGGGGGAGGATCTCAAGTAGACTCCCCACTGAGTGCGGAGCCCTACACAGGGCTTGATCTCACAACCCTAAGATCATGACCTGAGCTGAAATCAAGAGTCAGACACTCAACCGACTGAGTCACCCAGGCACCCCTTTCCACTACTTCTAGGAGCACTAGGAATAGGGAAGTATGGGATCCTCCTTTTCCTAACAGAAAGTTCTAGACTTCTAGATTCTTCCTAGACTGTAATATCATAGAGATCTCAGCGCTACTCAAGCAGTTATTTTTCAAACTCCTTTTGTATTCAAGATACCAATGAATAAGATGCGTAAGTTCTGGAAATCTAATGTACACCATAGTGACTACAGTTAATTATACTATATACTTGAATTTGACATACTTGAAATATATACTATATACTTGAAATATGTACTTGAAATCTTAAATGTACTCACCACATACACACAAATGATAACTGTATGAGATGACAGATGTGTTAACTGTGGTAGTCATTTCGCAATATATATCAAATCATGTTGTATGCCTTAAATATAATTTTTTAATTTTTAATTTTATACAATTATACTTCAATAAAGCCAGGGAAAGAATCAGTGATATTCAGAACTTTATTTTATTATAGCAATGGCAAAAATGAGATCAGAAATCAAAACTTGCTCAAATCCCTAATCCACTTTTTTTTAATCTCTACATTCCATGTGGGGCTTGAATTTACGACCCTGAGATCAAGAGTTGGACCCTCTACAGACTGAGCCAGCTAGGCACCACTCTAAACCACTTTTTAAATTAAAAAAAATTTTTTTTTGAGGTGAAACTCACATAACATAGCCATTTAGAAGTGAACAATTCACAATACACTCACACACACTACCTCTAGTTCCAAAACACTTTTATCTCCCCAATGAAGGAAACCTTATAACCATTACGCAGTTACTTCCCACTTGCAGGCCACCCTCCTCAGCCTCTGGCACCACAAATCTGCTTTTTGTCTCTGTGGATTTATCTTTTCTGGACATCTCATCTGAAATGTCTCTGGCTTCTCTAATTCCTTTCATAGCAGGGTGCTTTTTAATTTTTTTTTTTTAATTTAAATTCAAGTTAGTTAACATACAGTACAGCCCTGCTTCCAGGAGCAGAATCCAGTGACTCATCACCCACATACAAACGCAGTGCTCATCCCACCAAGCGCCCTCCCAAGTGCCCATCAGCCATTTAGCCCATCTCCCACCTACCTCCACTCCAGCAACCCTGTTTGTTCTCTATAGTTAAGAGTCTCTTTTGGTTTGTCTCCTTCTGTTTTTACCTTTTCCTTCCCTTCCCCTATGTTCATCTGTTTTGTTGCTTAAATTCTACATGTGAGTAAAATCATCTGATTTTTCTTATTTTGCTTAGCATAATACATTCTAGTTCCATCCACGTTGTTACAAATGGCAAGATTTCATTCTTTTTGATCAGAGTAATATTCTATTGTGTGTATGTACATATATACATGCACAGTGTATATGATATACAAACAGATGTACCCATCTTCTTTATCTGTTCGTCAATTGATGGACATTTGGGCTCTTCCCATGATTTGGCTATTGTTGATAATGCTGCTATAAACATTGGGGCGCATAAGAGCCTTTGAATCAGCATTTTTTATTTTATATCCTTTGGATAAATACCTAGCAGTGCAATTGCTGGGCCATAGGGTAGTTCTATTTTTAACTTTTGAGGAAACTCCATACTACTTTCCAGAGTGCCTGTACCAGTTTGCATTCCCACCAATAGTGTACAAAGTTTCCCCTTTCTTCACAGCCTCACCAACACCTGTTGTTTCCTCCATTGTTAATTTTAGCCATTCTGACAGGCTGGAGGTGGTGTCTCATTGTGGTTTGATTTGTATTTCCCTGATGATGAGGGATGTTGAGCATTTTTTCATGTGCCTATTAGCCATCTGGATGTCTTCTTTGGCAAAGTGTCTATTCATGTCTTCTCCCCATTTCTCTTTTTTTTTAAGATTTTATTTATTTATTTGACGAGAGAGAGAGAGCGCGCGCAAGCAGGAGCAGGAAACTCCATACTACTTTGAGTGAGCAGCAGAGGCAGGAGAAGGAGGCTCCCAGGGAATGTGAGGCAGGGCTTGATCCCAGGACCCTGGGATTATGACCTGAGCTGAAGGCAGAGGCTTAACTGACTGAGCCACCCAGGTACCCCACTTCCGCCCATTTCTTAACTGGATTGTTTTTTGGGTGGTAAGTTTGATGAGTTCTTTATAGATTTAGGATGCTAACCCTTTATCCAACATATCATTTGCAAATATGGTCTCCCATTCCACTGGTTGCCTTCTGGTTTTGTTGTTTCCTTTGCTACGCAGAAGCTTCTTATCTTGATGAGGTCCCAGTAGGTCACTTTTGCTTTTGTTTCTCTTGCCTCCTGAGGTAGGTCTAGTAAGAGGAGGCTACAGCTGAGGTCAAAGAGGTTGCTTCCTGTTTTCTCCTCTAGGATTTTGATGGTTTTCTATCTTACATTTAGGTCGTTCATCCATTTCGAATTTATTTTTGTATAGGTGTAAGAAAGTGGTCCAGTTTCATTCTTCTGCATGTCGCTGTCAAGTTTCCCCAACACCATTTGTTAAAGAGACTTTCTTTTTCCCATTGGATATTCTTTCCTGCTTTGTCGAAGATTAGTTGACCATCATACAAGGGCTCTTATGTCACTCTCAATCTTAGCACTTGAAATGAAGAGTATGGAAGTTCTTACCAAGTTCGAGAAAACACTTCCTTATGTTGCATGTGATGCTATTGTCCTGAAGGAAATAGTTCAAAACCTTCCCACTCAGCCTGACCATGCAGCACTGGTTAACCTGTACATGTGTGGACTCTAAGCCCATCCTCCACTAACACATTCTCAAAAATAGGGATCCAGTGGCTGTGGCTTTGTAACATGGCAAGTTGGCTAGCCTGAACTACATTTCCCAGAATTCCCTACCCTGAATGTTTCTGGTTAGGGTGTGCCACAAGAGACTTTTGTGCAAGATCTGGAAGGCTGAAATGAAGCAACAGCAGTTTGTGTGGATGCTTGCAAGGTGAGGACAGGTACTTTGTCCGCTAGGGACCGTGTTGGTGTGAGGCCGCAGTTGGACCAGCAATTGCTACAACTTCCCCTGGACACTCGTACAGCTTCTCACACTCCTGAGCCAGGTCTGTGGTCAGCTTTGCAATAAAGGCCACCAGCTGTAAGACTTTCACTTCCTCAACACTGGAACCAGTGAGAACTGACAAGGGTTCCTCTCCATCCTCCTGGGCTCCATCTTGTCCTTGCTTTCCCTCACATTTTATCCACCTTCCCTTCCCCATTGCCTGCCCTACAGACATCCAGCTCTACCACCAGATACGAAAATTATCTTCCAGAGATTGTTTAACCAGAGCCATACTTGAATAAAGTCAAATCCCTCTAACGAATCCCACATACAGACGGACTGCATATGCCTAATGATTCTGCTTCTCTAAATGAATCCTGATAGTATACTAATTAATAAAGCCACCATGGTTTATTGGATGATCAGCCAATAACAGTAACTTCAGCACAATTTAGCAAATTAAACTCCTGTTCAATGCAAGAGAGATGATTAGGAAAGGAACTATGAAGTTACATGGAATTGCAAAGCAGAGAAGCAAGAGATGGAGCCTGATCACCTTAAGGTAGGCTTGCATTACTGACATTCTGGGCAGGATGATTCTTTGTTGGAGTGGGCTGTCCTACACTGTAGAATGTTCAGTGGTGTTCCCCCTTCTACCCACTAGAAGCTAGTAGCACCCACTGGTTGTAGCAACAGCACATCTCCAGATTTTGACACAGGTCTCCTGAGGGGGAAAATTGTCCCCAGTTGAGAACCACATCCCTTAAAGCCTGCTATGTGCTTTTTTGTTGTTGTTGTTTTTTAAGATTTTATTTATTTATTTGGAGTGGGGTGCCTCGGTGGCTCAACGGGTTAAGCGTCTGCTTTTGGCCCAGGTCATGATCTCAGGGTCCTAGGATCGAGCCCCGCATCGGGATCTCCGCTCGGCGGGGAGCCTGCTTCCCCCTCTCTCTCTGCCTGCCTCTCTATGTGATCTCTCTGTCAAATAAATAAAATCTTGGGGGAAAAAAAAAGATTTTATTTATTTATTTGGGGGAAAGAGAGAGAGTGAGTGAGCAGTGGGGAAGGGCAGAGG